TCTTCTCAAGACTGTTGGGAAGCTGCCTGAGCGCACTCAAGGAGCTAAGTACCCAAAATAGGGTCACTTTAGCTTGGGTACCCGGACATGAGGGTTACAAGGGCAATGAGGCGATGTTCTGGACCATGAAAGCGCATCCAAGGCCATGATCTGCTCAGAACCATTCTTCGGGGTAGCGAAAGCATGTATGGTGGAATGAGCTCCCAGCTCATTCCACAAATCATCGTTCAGATTCACGAATCTGCTAAACCACAACCCTAAGGTTGTAAGGATAGTGGTGGGTCTACTAACGGGGCATAGCTGACCCAGGAAACATATGTGTAACATGGGTCTGACAGAAAAAACCCAATGCAGGTTCTGTTAAGAAGAGGAAGAAACCGCACTGCATGTGCTCTGTGAATGCGAAGCGACAGCAAGGCTGAGACACGCAAGATGCGGGAAAGAGAAACCAGAGGCTGCCAGCTATATGAAGGGGTTAGTGTCAAGGCTATGGAGTATCATCAAAGACATCAAGCATTAGAAAAATACTCGTATAGCTGGCAACACACAAGGAAACACTTATTATAAAGGTTCGACCTGGAAAATGAACTGTAGAACTGCTTCACCAAAGAAGAAGTATTGTAGGGCTACTCACTGGACACTGTCCATTTATAGGAAATCTGAACATGTCATGCTTTATGTGGATGTGAGACAATGGATCGAAGGAAGCACTAGCTTGAAGAAGGCAAGTTAGTTATGGACAACCGAATTCACGTCCAGAAAAAAATGAGACACATCCAAATAAGAATTTGTAGAAAGTGGTACAGGGAATAAGAATATTAGAATGGGTGTCTTTGAAACGATATGGGAATAAATGCAATACGCTCATGCGGCTTGAGTATTTTTTTGGGAAATGACCAAGTTATAAGGCTTGTAAGCAGCTAAAAAACTCAAATGAAGTGTTCACAAATACATGCATGTAAGGAACGTAAATGTGGTTATATTCAATTCTGAAAATAAAAGTTCGAAGTAATGTTTCTTGACAATAAGGAAATAAATCATTGAATCAGTTTTTCAGTGTCTTCTCAGTTGAAGAATATAGCGATATAGCATCAATTCTGTAGTCCGTTCTCAGTTGAAGAATAGTATTTCTATATTATTTCTATCTCAGTGAATCAACAGATAATCTCAATTCCTATTTAAATTTTTTCGGCTGGCAGAATAAAAACATCCAAATTATTCTCTCCACCTCCTGCTCTTCATATACAGAGACAAGTGGTGGGTGGCTGATATTTTTCAATATCTCAATCCACAGAACGCGTGCGAGCTCGGGGCCTTCCTTGTTCTGTCAATCAGACTGTAGAGAGACGTGCCATTAGTTTTGTACACGTTCGAAATGCGTGTGCTGTGACTAGTTCTGGAACGGTGAAAAATGGGCTACATCATCCCGATGTTATTTTTCAACGCAGACATTTTAAGAGGGAATCGTTCGCTGTGCACGTTCACTTTCTATTTTGGATGTTGACGACAGGAAGCATGTAAATAATAGCGTTCAACAACGTTCTGCTTTTGTCTGCTGCTGACAAGTCCTTTAAATCAATTGATCATCGTTACGTATCCGAGAAGGAAATAATACATTAAAGAGTATTTCAAAAATTTGTTTGGGTGGATATGTACCTTTCTTCATGAATTGGATTTTTAGTCTAAGACTAGCAATGACCTGAAAGATGAGATTAAGAAAAATGTTTTCTTCTTCTCCTGAAGACGCCAACTTGTTTGGTAAAACGTGCGTCGAAAAGAGTATTGTAGTTCTGGCGATTGAAAAAAATGCTTGTTTTGGATTCATTCTATGCCAGAGGTTGCAGTTTTGAAGTTTATTGTTGTAATTTTAATTGTTACTTGCCTATTGGTATCATTGACACTAACTGTTTTCACAACAACAACGTGAAACACGTGTCGCGATTCTGTAAACTTTCAAGGTGAAATCTCACATTAAAGTGTTTTTTTGATACGTCACAATGTATTTGTGGACAATTTCAATTATTTTCACGTGTTCCAAGGCTGATATAAATAATATGACAAAATGGTTAAGGCTTTTGCGGCCGATGTTTTCAGTGTGACTATTTTGCGAGTTCGGAGGTCGTGAATTTTTGGAATTTCGTCCTGACGTTTCGCTAGTGCGAGTGACTCCTCAGGTAGTTTGGTGTGCTATCACCTGTACTTGGCTTAGGTAAATTACATAAGCGTGTTCATGTTGTTTCAGGTAGTCTGTTATGATAATACCTGTACCAGTACCTATTAGATAAATTGTCAATAACATCCGTTCACCTTTTTCTACCTGCCGTCATGGTGAATATCTTAGAATGGGATTCCATATTTGATTGAGGTTCACAGCTTCATCTTTTCTGTTGAAATCATCCGTGTGTTTGTAGGAAAGACAAAGTTCTACGTCAAGGATTCGACAGACTTCGTTAGTGAAATTAGGGACTCAAATCTGAAGCCGACTCTCTGACGGAGCTAGCCAACTTGTTTCCGAGTGATATCGTCAAGACTCTTCTGAGCATGTCTCACGGGAAGTTTCTTTCAATGGCGTAGCGATGGAAAGTCCACTTAGTCCACCATTGAATTAAAACCAACCTTGTGGCTACGTTACGTGGATGACATTTTCGTCATCTGGAAACATGGAAGGAACCTTCTGAACCTTTTCCTAGACCACTTGGACGCTCAACACCCAAGCATCAATTTTACCATGGAACTGAACAGGAGCAGCGGTTAGCATTCCTAGATGTACTAATCGAACGATGTGGTGCTAGAATAACCCACAAAGTGTACCGAAAACCCACGCACACGGATAGGTACCTGCACGCACAATCGAACCACGATCCTAGTCAAAAGAGAGGAGTCTTCTACGCTTTAACGGAATGGGCTCAAAAAATATACATCTTCAAGTGACCTTGAGATTGAATGGATACAGTGTACCTGAGATCAACAAAACCATGAAACTGAAAAGTTCTATGGCGCAAAATGAGGAGAAAGGTCAGACAGAATTGGAAAACTCTTGGGTAAAGACAACGTAAGAACGGTTTTGAAACCTACCAAAAAGATACAAGCCTCAAGTCTAAAGAGAAAAGGGACCCACTATCATCAGCAGGGGTTTATCGCATACCATGCACTTGTGGGAAGGTATGCATCGGAACCACCAAACGATCCATGAGAATAAAGCTGGAGAAGCATGAAAGAAATTGCAGACTAGACCAAACGGACAAGTGGACTGTGGCAGAACACGCACTCAGTGAAGGAAACCACAAGATTCTGTTTGAAAACACGGAATTCATAGCCCCCAATCAGCGATACCATAGCTGACTGCTACGGAAGGCAATGGAAATCCACAAACATGCGGATAATTTCCACAGGAAGGAAGAAGCTGTGAACCTTAATCGAATGTGGACTCCCATTCTAAGAAGTTCAAGAATAGCAAACACCTTGACATCAGGTAGAAAAGGGTCAGCGAATGTTTTTGACAATTCACTAGGTACAGATATCAGACTACCTGGATCAACATGAACACGCTTTACGTAATTCACTTGAGCCAGGTTCAGGTATTAACATACCAAACTACCTGAGGAGTCAACATAATTAAGCGTTACGCAGCCATAATATACAGTCATCGGAGGTATTAACTCTGGATATATAAACCTCTGAGGAAGCCAGCCACTCGCGTCAGCGAAACGTCAGGAAGAAATTCCGAAAATACACGGCCTTCAAACCCTAAAAATAGTGACACTGGTAAATAGTATGACTCGTAAAATGATCGAAATTTCGAGTAGATGTTACATGAACGCTTTCAACTAGTAGAATATGTGCAAGAATATATTCTGATTCAAAGGAAAAAGGTAAAACTCTAACCCCTGGCGAATAATCAATCCAAAACAAGCACTGCTTCCAAACACCAGAACTACAACACTCTTCCCAGTAATTAGCGTCTCCATCTCCTGAAGACGTTAACTTCGTTAGCGAATTGCGCGTCCAAAAGAGTGCTACAGTTCTGGAGTTTGGGCGCGTTGCTCGTTTTGGAGAATGATAATTAGCAAAAAAAAAATTGAAGATTGACTTGCATTCATGTACAGCTCAAAGTGGAAGATATTTGCTATGGAATATTGTTTGGATTCTTTTTGAAACCTTTATTCCAGCGTTGAATAAAAAACTCGTTGCTTTGATTAGAAGTATTATTCATACTTTTGTCGAAAATTGGATTAATTTCTGTTAACGTGAGCACTGCTGGATTATAGAAATTAGAATGAGGAGCAGGACACGTATACACAACAAACCCCCAACCGGACTAGTCCTAGGAACATGGTCAACGGCTTCAGGAGCCTAGGCCATATTTACTGCCTGTGGCAGTTGTGTAACACAGTTCTGTTCGGAACAAGGAGTAGATGAGAAGATCACTGCCATTTATCAAGTTATCAGTTAGTTCCCAATATACCTACCCCTTTTTTAAACATCGTATAATAATAATAATAGTGTTCAGCAAAAGTTGGACAGCTTACGGACGATCCACAAAAAACTTAGGGACTCCGACTTTTCGTTACTTTTGTATGGAGAAAAACTTGTCAACACATCATGAATGAGAAATGAAAATAAACTATTCTGAAGGATATTTGGTTGAAATTGTTTTGAATTCCATCCGGCTGAGTAGAAATTACTTGAGGTTGAAAGAATCTATTTTCTTACATCAATCTCACCTTACCTTTTGAATACAAACAATCCTTCATTTTTGAGATCAACTCTTTTTAAGAAAATCAGTCGAATGAAACTATTCAAGTTATAGGGGTTTTATTAAAAAAAGACACATTCATTGAAATAGTGTATATTTTGGTTATTTTTGTAACATCGCTCTTATTACTCTTTACAACTTCGTGTAACCACGCATCGTTTATATTATAATGGTACCAGGTTTGCCAAACTTGTATCTTCTCGCCATTAATATAACATCAAATTATTCCCCTTCGATCTTCCAGGCTGTTTGTAGTTCACGACCTCATCGACCCGAAAACTCCTAAGATGAGGGAAGTGTGCAAAAGCGGCCCCGTAGTCGCAGCCGTCGTGGCAGTTCTCGAAAAACAAAACCTCAACGACAAGAGGCAATTTACCGCTCCGAACAAAGCCCCTCCGATAGCAGACAAGAACCCTCCACCGCCAGGCCACGGAGCGCCTCTCCACGTCGATGAAAATAAAACGTGTTCCAATTTCGAAACTAAAAATAGCCGATGTTTAGACGACCAGATTAGCTTCGAATCGGCGGTGAATGATTTCAATAGCGTCGCGGAAGACGTCCAGAATTTCTGCGCTACGGATTCGCTGTCGAGGGGCCAGCATCGCGCCAAGACGGAGCCCCGGGAGAACGGCCACTTCCACGAGGTGGAATTCAACGGGGTGCTCCGACTTAACCACGGGGTAGGCATCGGCCACGGGGAAGGCGTCGACCGCGCCCTGGGTCTCGACTCCGCGAGTGATAGTGACGACAGCAGCAGTAGTGAGTGCGCCACGTCGTCGGATAGTGACGAAGAGAAGGAGCACGTGATCAGCGAGGGTCTGGCTACCATCACCGAGGAGCTGAGCAGCGTGCATTCGTATCAAGGTAATGGTTTGGTTCATGTTTATTAGGCGTTAACTGTTGGATTTAGGAACCTACGACTGTTTACATGGTATAGTGATTTGTTTCGTCAGTCAGTATCTTCCCTCTCCAGCTGTTTATTTTACAGGAATTTTACTATTTTAAGCGTTTACCGCAGACAAAATAATTCCGTTCATGTTTGGAGTCAACGTTTGATATAACTGAATTGAGGTAGTATTTGAATCAAGATATTATCACTTCAATCAAAGCATTAATGACGTAAGGTTTTGAGATCCCAGACTCGAAAAAATTGGAGTAGTCATTGAAATCATCAAAAAAATATGTTTACAAGAAATTGTTAGTTTTACAAATGAAAGTCAATTTACGCTTTTTTTATCATCAAAGAGATCATCAAAAGTATTAATAGTTCAAGTAAAAACCAATTACCCCGTACTTTTGTTAAAGACATTTTCTCCAAATAGCAATTCGTTCAAATTTCCAAATTTTTGTTGTATTGCTTACCGACGATTTAGTTTAGCTTCTAACTGCAAGATGTCAGTATCATATAAATCCCATTTACGAAGTTTCTTGCAAGGATCGAAAATAATTTCAATGTCAGTTAACAAGCATATCTGTTTTGAAACATGAATTATGTACCAGTTTCACTTTTATTTTTTTTTATAATAATCATGATATATTTCCGTAAACATGATTTTGTAATACAATAAATGTATAAATAAATAAGTGAATAAATGTATTGTAAATATAACAGTTAACCCACAAAAGGATATATACTTTTAGGTGGGGTTATAAGGTAAACAATAATACAACTATTGATTTCTATATAGATATCATAGAGTATATGGTCGGTCTGTAGCCAGGCGATTCGACGTGGGTGCTTTCTTCACTCATCGAATTGACTGTCTTGTTGGTCGGTGAGTCAAGCCCCAGTCTGAACGATTGATTTTCACTTGCTATCGTCCAACCCGTGTTAGGAATCACACGTTAAAAGGAAAGACCTCGTTAATCCTTAGATCGAACAATTTTTGACTTCTGAGGGTTGTCGTTCCTAGGGGTGCGACAGCTGGTTAACGGAAAAACAGATTTTTTTAAACACCTATATACATCTGTATCTGTAGAGTAGGGAGGATGAGTGTAGACCCACAGCACTTAGGCCACATGTGACCCATTGTACATCCTCCCGAGGAGTTGTCCTCCTAGGTCATCGTCCATCCTGTCCTTTCCAGGAAGGTGGACAGGTCACTAGGAGACATCTCCTTCATATTGGCAGGGGTAGGCCAAGACTAGCCGAACACACAATATCTTTGGCAACCTTGAAGGGTCTCACGATGGCCTCCGCGAAGGTTTTGGGAGGCGCAGCAACATTACTGTCATTGCGCAGCTTCTTCAACCTCCTTGGGGTTCCCTCCGTGGAGGTGCACAAGTGAGGGAGCTTTCCTGCAGGAGCAGCCGGTTCCTTGCCTTTATTCAAGGCGGAGCTCCTGGTGACCGCCGCAGGAAGTGCCCTTGCTGTTGAAGGTGGAGTGGGGGAGGAGGTGCCCTTGCTGCCACTCCTGCCTACTTCGCTCTCTTTCTCCATTTCGCCTTGGCGCCGCAAATGCGCTTACGCCTTGGCCTTTGTATCACATCACGAGGTGATCTGATATGTCCAGCCTCATTCCAAGCGGTAGATTGGGGTGGACCTTTCTGTTCATCCCCAGCCACCGCCTTAGATTGAGGTGAGCACTTCTGTCCAGCCTCGGGATTGGTTTTTGTTTCATTCGGCCTTGGGATTGATTTTTGTTTTTGTTGGGGGCTGTGGAACCCCATGTGATGCAGCATAGTTTTTGCAGGATAATATTTTTTGCAGGTTTTTGCAGGGTCTGAGGTTTGCAGCTGTCTTCATTAGATGTTCTTTGGAGCTTTGCGTTCTGTTGAGTGTGACACCCAAATACTTTGGGTGCATATTGTGACTGAGAAGTCTGCCTTCAAAATTGATTTTAAGTTGGTAGTTGGCCATCCTGTTGTTTAGGTGTCTCCAAAATATCTCCCAAGGACAGCCAAGTCATTTGTTAGAATTTGCTCAGTTATCTCAAACTCCCTATGGCCTGTGGCGAGCGCCCAATCATCCGCGTAGCCGAACTTCTTTGATGTAGTTTCGGGAATGTTTGGTATGTAAAAGCTAAAGAGCAGGGGAGCAAACACCGATCCTTGTGAAAGGTCATTATTCAGTTTCATTTTTGTATTGGTCTTGTCGGCCATAATGACTTGAAAAGATCTATTGGATAGCATGGCATTGATAACATCAGCCATCTTTCTGCATGGGATAGCTCGCATTAATTTATATATACCTAACTCCTTGTCCGCCAGACAGTGTCGTATGCCGCTGACAGGTCTATGTAAGCAGTAGATATTTTTAGTTTCTTTTGAAAGCCAGTTTTCACATAGTTAGTTAGTGCTAGTACTTGGTCCGTACAGCTGCGGTCCGGACGAAATCCTGCGAAGTTATACAGTCTAATAGAGTTTTGCTACTATAATGAACGATAAAGTTATGCCATGAATTACATTATTTTATTATAGGAAACTTTGTTTCGATATTGAACATTATGTGTGAGTTGCTAAAAACCATTGAACTTCATACAGAGTTCATTTTTACAAGATAATCTTCATCCTGCTTAAAAATTACTAACGCTTGCTTGATGCAGTTGTTGTCACCTATGCGTGTCATGCACACTGCGCCAAAAACTATTTTCTCACACATGAGTAACATAAATAAGCACTCTAATAGAGGTAAATTTCAGAAATAATATTAACATTAATTTTTAATGAATAGATTCCAGATGTTTGTGAATAACTTATTCGTTTCAGAGCATTATCATCTGGTTTCATTAAAGTTACATAAAATTTGTTGAAAATATACTAGTAAAAGGTGTTCAGCATGAATTGAAAGTTTTTCTGCACAACTTTGTTTATGGAACTGGCACCGCGAAGTTCAGCGCATNATAGCTTTATCTATATCTCTATAGCTAACCGATACTAGGGTATCATCAGCATAATAATGGTCATAATCACATTCATTACGTTTGCTGATATCATTAGTGTAGATTAAGAATAACAATGGCCCTAAAATTCTTCCCTGCGGAACCCCATGGTCTATGCTTTTTGATGTTGAAACAAACTCATTAATTTTGTTTACCTGCTTTCTTCATGTAAGGCAATCACTGATCCAATCAAGTGCTTTTGTTTTTATGCCATATTTAAAAAAAAAATAATATTTCACGATTAACAGTTTCAAATGCACGATTCAGGTCTAAAAATACTGCTACAGTGTACATGCATTCACTCATTTTATCTTTCCATTCAGTAACCGTAAGCTGACGTACGGATTCGCATGAATGGCTGGATCTAAAACCACATTGGTTTGGCCTCATTAAGAAGTTGAGCTTATTTGGTGTGAGCCACGATGAAACCTCACGAGTTTCAGAAAAAGGTCGAGTAGACCCACTTACTCTGAACCTATCCTAACATTGGTTCATACGCTTTTCAAGATTCAAACCGATAGACTAATTGGATCTGGAAGAAATGTCGGTTTTTATTTAGTTTTTCGGACATCAACCAGATGTTTAGAATTTATTCACAGATTGTTGAATGTTTTCCATGGAGTAAATTATAGAAAACATGTGCCTATACAAATATTTGTGTTTGTACAAGTTCAGCGGTCTGCACTATATGTTTTACGTACCAGAGTTTCTTGGGAACATCTAGTTCATGTAGTTAATTGGGAAAATGCGGCTATTTTCGTTCACTCGTTAACATGTGTTATAACGTAGAGAAGGGAAGTGATTATATTGGCGGAAATGCTTTTTAAAATTGCGGTCTTTGTCCCTGCGAATCATGTCGAGAACCCAAATGACAAAGTTTCGAACATATCGGCATATTGAATTATCAATTTTTTTTTTGATTGATGCAACTGAGTTTCCTTTATTTTCAGTATTTTAATATTAACATGTGTTTACAAAAAGTATTTGAAGCTTTAATAACTTCTTCTTCATGGCTCTACTCAAACTGAACGTTTTATCTTCTTGTTTGTTCGTTTATACGGTTAGAACGCCTTAGTGCAGGTATTTGTCCCCTCCTGTCATCCGGATGTCTCTTTAAATTTGCCTGTAATATCCTTTGTGTTGGAGTTTCTCTAGGTTCATTGTTTCTAGGAATGTGAATGGGGAATGTTCCTCCTGACAAAAATCATAAAAGAGCTCTAAAACAACACATTTTAAACTTATCATTACAACCTTTTTCTTTGAAAAATTATTTAAATACTTGAAAAAGAGGAATGAAATAATGCATTCAACATTTAAAGGGATTCGTTTCTATTTCACCATTTGGCAACATCGGTTATAGCTAATAAAGAACAATGAATCTGTTACCTGCATGAGACAAACAAAGATGACATATTTCAGAGGCGTGCTGTTCTGTTTACTTATGTTCCGAGTTCGGAGACATTCTGTGACATATGAAATTTTGTGCACCTAACCGATCTTCCTCTATATAAATAAATGACTGTTGTTTATGTGGCTTGTGGGGGTGGTATTGAACTATAATTTATATTTTGCCTCAATTGTTGATTTATAAAGATAATTTTCCTTTTTTATAGTAAAATATCTAGGTACGTATAAATTATTTCAACTTGATATAGGCGCTGTTGCCAATATGTGAATTAGAAACAAATCCCTTTAAAAATTAAAACCCAATATTTGAAACATCAATTTGAATAGTTTTCGAAATGACTTTGAAAAACTCATGAATTAAACTCAACTTTATTTTATTCAAACTTGCATTTGCTGTAATAACCCAAATTGAGGAACATTCCCCATTGTATTGTCTAGTATATTGAATGTTAGATCTTGTGTTTTGATTTATATTTGTTCCTCGATAAGTGAGTTATGACTTTTGAATTTATGGATGTTTAGGTTTTCCCAGATGTCTATACGGTTTCCTTTATTGACTTGTTTCATGAGTTTGAT